GACATAAAGGGACGTAGCACTAGCTAATAATAAAGAACTTAGATGAAGTTCACTACCTAGGCATGAAGGACCAAGCCATTTACCAAGGATAAAGAACTTGATAATAGATAAAGTTCACCACCAAGCCCTAAAGAACTTTTGAATTGGATAAAAACCTGAAGATATAGATTCACTGAATTTAGGAAATTCTCATGTATTCATTATATTCAAGACTTCTATAGTACAAATGAGATTGCGCCTCTATTTATAGAAAACTCTACTAAGGGTGCGCATGAATACCATTCTGTGCCCGGGAACTATTTCTGAACATAAATGATTTTTTTTTATTCTGTGCCCGGAAACAATTTCTAAGTATTTGAAGGCGTTTGATAAACTGTCCAAAATTTCTATTCCTAGAGTAGAAAAGAAGCGTTTGGTAACTACACAAAATTTCTGTTCCCAAATAATATTTTAATAATATTTTGAATTGTTTAATTTTTTTTTCTTTCTACCCATTTTCTTCTTTGGCCATGGCCGGTCGCCGGCGGCCGGCGGCCAACCAGCCCAGGGAAGAACAACACAAAAATAAGAAAAGAAAAAAAAGAAAAAGAAGAAAAAAAACTGATTCTCAAAATTGTGCCAAGAAACAAGAAGCAACTTTTTTTTACTTCTTGTTTCTCTTCCAAAACTGTTTCTCGGCACAAATTTTTGCAAAAATGTGCCCGGAAACAAAAAGTTTACCAAACGCATTTCTGTTCCCAAACTATTTCTGGGAACAAAAGAACAGAAATTTTCACTCTTTGGCACGTTGCCAAACGGGCCCTAAGCAAGTGAAAATTACTCTTAAGATTTTATGGCTCTTGGGCTATGACTCTTGAAATTGTCAACACACTTAAGACTCGTAAAAACTAAGAATTGTGATCGACAATACACTTAAGACTCATAAAATTTAGACTTGATACCAACAATGCTATTAAGATGATGATATTTGAGTTGGACTTGAGAATTGTTCAATTAAACCCGATGGTCCCGCATCAGGCTAGGATTATAGCAACAAGGCCCACGATAGAGCCATGGGTTGACCCAGAGAGGGGGATGACGAAAGCAGAGAACTCCACAAAGAGAGGAAGAGAGTACAATGAACTCCAAACGGAGACGGTAGTGGCAACAGCACAAGAGCCATAGGATAATAAAATAAAGGGAAAATACCATAACAAATCCCAAATTATATTACTTGTGATAAATTTACCCTGAACTTTTTTTTATGACACGAAAAACCCCAAACTATGCCACTTGCAAAAAATTAACCTTGAACTGTTTTTGTGACACGAAAAATCCCAAAATATGCTACTTGTGACGTATTTACTAATTTTTCACAAGTGGCATTGTTTGGGATTTTTTGTGTCACAAAAAAAAGTTCAGGGTTAATTTTTTCACAAGTGGCATAGTTTAAGGTTTTTCATGTCACAAAAAAAAGTTCAAGGTAAATTTGTCACAAGTGATATAGTTTGAGATTTTTTGTGGTATTTTCCCTAAAATAAACACCAAACAAGGAGGCGGCCACAAAGACAAGCGAGTGAAACAAGTTCAAGATGGCTAAACGCACGTTGGGGAAGATGCTGTCGGTGGATTATTATAGGTTCAGATATAGCAACCAAGAGTGAGTGAATTGATAATAATGTCTGATTTTTCAAACTCTACAGGTGCAAACAGTAAAGTTTCTACTTCTGCATTTTGGAGCCTTGTAGCGCCTGCAAAGGTCCTTCCTTTGCACCGATCGAATCCTTGGTTGGTGCCCTCGTGGAGCCTGGATTGCAGATCTGGTTTTTCTGGATTTCAATTTCTAGTGTTCACGACCTGCGGCTCCTCTTCTGATCCTGGACGATCCTTCCGTTCAATTCCTTTGCATCTTGGAGCCTTGTAGCGCCTGTAAGTTGCATCCCTCGAACCGTTGGGATTCTTGGTTGGTGCCCGTGAACAGCCTCGCTGGTAGATCTGGGTTTTCATTCTCTCGCATACTGTTGCGAGACACTATGCACCCGCGGTTTCTATTTTCTGTTCTTGGGAGCCATACAGTGCCTATACGATTACTTCCATTGAACCTTTGGGATTCTTGATTGGTGCCGTCTGCAGTCTCGCTGGTTGATATAGATTGTTCTGGGCTTCTGCATTCTGGTGTTGAACTTGCTCTCTGAACTCCTCCCGATAGAGCTGGTTGATCTTTGGTGTTGGTTGAACATTGCTTCTTACCTGATCGTATAGGGTGTACTCTTCTCTGCTCCACCCTTTCTCTATGGATTTCTCGGACTAAGGATCTCCATGGCTAGGCATCTCGCTATTCCTATGGAGCCTTCTGTTCCGACACAATCATTGGCTTTGGCAAGTATTAAGCAACCTAAGGCACCTTCCAAACAAGTGCCTGGGTCCAATGTTCGCTTGCCTGGAAATCTCGTGCAGCCCACTTCGGCGGCTATTGTAGAGCAGAAATCTCACACTATTGAAGCTAATGTAGGTGGCCCTTCTTCTGTCCATCCTGCAGCTCCAAAACAGCGCCAGCGGAGTAGAGGGCGCAGTAGAGTGAGGTATGACTCCAACCTGGCTCGTGTTGATTCCACTGGTGGGGGATCTTCAATTCATCAGCAAGGCCAAGCCTTGGTTAAGAATAGGCGAAGCCAAAGCAAAGGGATATCATCAACTATAGTACCATCTCGGGAACTAGCTCCGCAGCTTGCCCAAAGATCCTGGGCTGCTGTGGCAAAATCTGCGGAGAAGGGCTACAACCTCTCCTACATCCCACCTGCTATTGTTGATGGGAAACCAATTGTTAGAATCTCTCCAGAGATTCTTAGAGACACGAACCCGAAATGGCAGAAATGCCTTGTGGGCTATTTCGTTGGGAAGAAACTTCCATTCAAGATGACTGAAAATGCAGTCAAAAACATTTGGGGGACACAAGTGGTGGATGTTCTTGCGAATGGGGGTGGATTTTTCTTCTTCCATATCCCCGACAGCTCCTTTCGCCGGAAAATTCTGGATAGTGGTTCTCTCACGATCCTTAGAGTTCCCATGATCCTGCAGCAATGGCATCCGGATCTCAAACTGAAGAAAGACCAACATGAGTCTCTTCCTGTATGGGTCAAGCTGAGGAATATCCCATATGCCCTCTGGTCTTCGACTGGCATCAGTGCGGTGGCTAGTGCCATTGGCAAGCCTCTATATGTTGATGTCCAAACAGAAAAGATGAGAATGATCTCATTCGCCAGAGTGTGCATTCAGATTAAAGCAACTCAGAATCTTCTTGACTCGGTTGACGTCATTTTGAATGACGATACCTAGTCCATTAAGGTCGAATATGAATGGCGACCTATATCCTGCTCGGTATGTGGTACGTTTGACCACAAGTGCACGCTTGCCAGTCAAGATGTAACGACCCGGTCTGACGAGGGCGGGGAGTGGTCGCTGGGGCCAGAGGGCCTGGACAAGGAGCGGCTCCTGGCAGGCTTCTAGGATGGCAAGGGGGGGCATGTCTCTTGTCCCACATCGCTTAAGGGGGGAGTCCTGGGCTAGTTTATAAGGCTTGGGTTCTCTACTCTGTATAACGCGTTTCACATGGGCTTGCTTCCGCTGCGCATGATGAGAACAAAGCCTTGAGGGGAAGGGCCAGAGAGCGCCCCAAAGAGGACAATATTGGGCTTGGGGGAGGAAGGGTCAGAGAGCGCCTCTACCCAAGACAACGCATTTTAAAACCGTGAGAGTCAGTGGATCCAAAGCGGACAATATTACACAGTGTAGACCCCGGGTCCTTACAAATGGTATCAGAGCCGACTCCCGACCGCGTGTGGGGCCACAGCGAGGACGCTGTGCTCGAAGGAGGGGAGAATGTAACGACCCGGTCCGACGAGGGCGGGGAATGGGCGCCGGGGCCAGAGGGCTTGGACAAGGAGCGGCTCCTGGCAGGCTTCTAGGATGGCAAGGGGGGGCATGTCTCTTGTCCCACATCGCTTAGGGGGGGAGTCTTGGGTTAGTTTATAAGGCTTGGGTTCTCTACTCTGTGTAACGCGTTTCACATGGGCTTGCTTCCGCTGCGCATGATGAGAACAAAGCCTTGAGGGGAAGGGCCAAAGAGCGCCCCAAAGAGGACAATATTGGGCTTGGGGGAGGAAGGGCCAGAGAGCGTCTCTACCCAAGACAACGCATTTTAAAACCGTAAGGGTCAGTGGATCCAAAATCGACAATATTACACAGTGTAGACCCTGGGTCCTTACACAAGATCTTTCTGTTATACAGAAGCCTCAAGCACAAGTTAATCAGGCAGAGGATGTTCCTTCATCAGGCGAAGGTAAATGGGAAACTGTCGGCAAAAGGCAAGCTGGGGTGCAACCAAAAGTCTCTGCCATAGCAACATCCTCAAACCAAGGGCAGACTCTCCCTACCCCCGGGAACATTGTTGCCCCAGTGGCTCTTCAGCCTCCTTCCATTCCAGTAAATTCCCCTGCTTCTTCCGGCGATGTCTCTGATTCGGAGGAATCCGAAGCTGGTACAGCCAGTAATGTGGGTAGGGATGCAGATGATGTCCCCCCATCCCCTGCCCCTCCAAGCACCAGATCAAGAGCTGGAATGCACTAAGGAGGAGACCCTCAAACAAGATCCCTTCAGTCCCGCCCTGTGCCTGAAACGGTTTTGCCTACTCCTTAAAGCAGTCCTTCTACGTCTAAGAACGCCAACCCTAAATCTAGGAAGCGGGGTGGCCCTAAGAAGAGGTAATCCTACCCCTTCCTGTACATATGTTTTTTGCCGTCTGGAATATTAGGGGCCTTATGGCCCCCTTAAAACAGGCTGAGATTAGATCATTAGTCAGATCTAAAAACCTTTCTTGCATTGGTATCCTGGAAACTAAGGTTAAACCAAGCTCTTTTGCTAACATCTCTACGGGGCTACTGTCGGGATGGTCCTGGTCCTCTAACTATAATTCCTCCCCTCGGGGTAGAATTTGGATTGGCTGGAATCCCCGGGAGGTACAAATGGATGTCCGCTCGGAATCCTCTCAGGCTATTCACCTGCACATGTGTTTGCTAGCAATGAATAAGTCTTTTCATGTTTCTATAATCTATGGTGAGCATACATTTACTGCTCGCCGGTCCCTATGGACTGATCTTGTTCAGACCAATATGGTTGTTTCTAATGAGCCTTGGCTGGTTGCTGGGGACTTCAATGCCATCCGTGATCACTCGGATAGAATGGGCAACTCTAATGAATGGATTCCAGCATTTGATGAACTTGCTTTGTGTCTAGACCAAGCTGGGTTGGATGATCTTAAATATGTTGGCCATCGCTTTACTTGGTCAACATCTTCTGGTGCCTCCCGCAAACAAAGGAAGATTGATAGAGTCCTTGTTAATGATCAGTGGACCAGCACCTTCTCCTATTCGGAGGCTACTTTTTTGGCTCCAGGGGTGTCCGACGACACTCCTATGATCGTTCGAATTATGCTTCCCTCTCCGTTCAGGAAGCCTTTCAAGTTCTTTAATTGTTGGGTGTCTCACCCTTCATTTCTGCCTATTGTCACTCAGACATGGGGCTCCCGGATCACTGGAACTCATATGTTCATCTTATGCCGCAAGCTGAAGATTCTCAAGGGAAAACTCAAACAACTTAACAAGGACTATTTCTCTGATATTTCAGGTCGCACCGCATAGGCAAGATCGGCTTTGTATATAACTCAAGATGCTCTTGTTAGGGACCCCTTAAACCTGTCTCTGGCTGCTCTGGAGAAGGATCAGCTCCATGACTTCGCATCTCTTAGGATCCAGGAGGAATCGTTCTTTAAACAGAAATCCAGGATCAATTGGCTAAAAGAAGGTGACCGCAATACCAAGTATTTCCACCATTTTGTCAACAGAAGACATATCCTAAATCGTATAATCTCGGTTTTGGATGACAATGGATCTATCCTTACTGAACCGACACTTGTCCACAATCATATTGTCAATCATTTTCAGGATTTACTTACTTCCAGCTCTTCACTTGATCTGTCTTCATCGCTGGATATCCAGGGCGTAATTGGCCGGTCTCTTAATGAGGACCAGGTATAGTTTCTTACCCGGCAGGTCATTGAATTGGAAATCAGAAACACATTCTTCTCCCTTCCTAAGGGCAAAGCCCCGGGGCCATATGGGTTTAATGTTGAATTTTTTCTAGAAGTTTGGGAAATTGTCGGCCCTTCGGTCATTTTGGCGATCAATGATTTTTTCATTTCTGGCACCCTTCTTAAGGAGACCAATGCCACCATCCTTACACTTGTGCCTAAGGTTCCCAATGCATTGGCTTTGAATGACTTTAGGCCTATTGCATGTTGTAATACGATTTACAAGTGCATCACCAAGATATTGGCTAACAGAATTGCATCTGTTCTGCCTTCGATCATTAGCCCCCCGCAGAATGCATTCGTCAAAAAGCGGAGAATAGGTGACAACATACTTATTGCCCAAGAACTTTTTGCCGGTTTCCATCACCAACCTTATCTGGCCAAATGCGCTATCAAGGTAGACTTTCAAAAGGCTTACGATACGGTTGACTGGGGTTTTTTGTAGCTGACCTTGCAAGTATTTGGCTTTCCCCAAGTGTTTATCAAGCTTCTTATGGAGTGCGTGACTACCCCGAAGTTCTCGGTTGCCATCAATGGGACTCTCCATGGTTTTTTCTCTAGTGGTAGAGGCATTCGTCAAGGGGACCCCATATCTCCCTACCTATTTACCCTAGTCATGGAAGTCTTCACCGGTATTCTCAATGCTCACACTCAGCTCCCAGGCTTTAAATTCTTCTGGCGATGTAAGACAACCAGACTCACTCATTTGTTTTTTGCCGATGATGTCCTCTTATTCGCGGAAGCAAATCTGGTTTCGACCACACTATTGAAGGACGCCCTGGACCAGTTCTCTCGGTGGTCTGGCCTCAAGCCAAATGTCAATAAGAGTGAAATTTTTTTCTCGGGAGGGACACCCCAACTGTGGGACAAGATATTGCATTCTTTCGGATACCTTGAAGGTATGTTACCCTTTCGATATCTTGAAGTTCCTATCTTTGCCTCTAGGTTGAGTAAGGCCGACTATACATTGCTTGTCAATTCTATTACCGCTCGAGCTCGCTCTTGGGCCCAACGGTTTCTCTCCTTTGTGGGACGCTTACAGCTGATTAAATCTGTTCTCCACGTCATACATGTCTTTTGGGCTTCTATATTCACCCTCCCTCGATCGGTCATAGCGAGGATAGAACTGATTCTCAGACAATTCCTTTGGAAAGGTCTTGATTTAAGGGTTGGTGGTGCCAAAGTATCCTGGAGTCGTGTTTGTCTCCCCAAGCAAGAAGGTGGACTGGGCATACGTAGGATCATTGATTGCAATCAAGCGGCTATGCTCAAACATATTTGGATCCTTTTCACGGATAAGGAATCCCTATGGTGTAAATGGATTCACTCCAATTTCCTCAAATCTAAAAATTTCTGGGTTGCATCCATACCAACTTTTTGCTCCTGGACATGAAAAAAGATACTGGATTTACGCCAAACATTCCAATCGCAATTCAAATGGTGAATAGGTAATGGTAAGACCACTTCCTTCTGGTTCGATTCTTGGCATCCCAAAGGCCCACTTTATAAGATCTTCTCGAATAGGGATATTTTCTGTTCTGGTATCCCACGTTCGGCCTCGGTTTGTGAATTCTTTTCAAGGGCTTGGCACCGGTCGAATGTGTTGTAATCATTCAACTCTTGGGCGTCTCCTCTCCCCTTACTTAATGTCGATATACCATATCACTTTGTTTGGCTAGGACACTTGTCTGGAATCTTCTCTATTACCTCGGCTTGGGAATTGGTACGGGCAAGAGGACAAGCGGTCTACTGGGATTCTTTCATCTGGGACTGTCATATTGCACCGCGCCACGGCTTTTTGATGTGGTTGATGGCCCTTAATAGGCTTCCCACACAGGTGTTCCTACTGAACTATCATAGAATATCCTAAGGTTTATGCGCCTTTTGCCACCTTAGACCAGACTCGGTCAATCATTTATTCTTTGGGTGCATTGCTACGGGCTCCCTAGCGCAATATTGGGCTACTAATTGTCACCTTTCTTGGCGTAATGGGTCCTGGCAACAGAATCTCAGGTGGGGTGTTCGTTTCATTGGTGGAGATAGCTTTCATCAACGTATCTCTCGGTTTGCTCTTGGGGCATTGTGCCACCTCATCTGGATTGAACGGAATAATATTCTCTTCAGGAATGGCACCCATTTTATGCCTGCTCTCCGCAACCATCTTGCCAAGGTAGTTAGAGACAAAGGCCTTTCTTTCAAGCCGGTCCAAGACAATCCTCAGAATAGAAGGATTCAAGCCGGTTGGGGCATATCTGACTCCATTTTCAGCTGACCTCCTCTTGTAGTATATGTGTTTATCTTCTGTTGGCTGTCTGTTAGCCTTCCTTTTATTGCACTTCCTGTGCTTTCTGTATTAGCCGCAACACCTTTGTACCGGTCGGGACACTCTCTGTCTCCTCAAGTACGAGATTTTTGTGTTCGGCCTCCTTTACTGTAAGGTGCGCGTTGAAAAGTTATATACTGCTTACTTTACCAAAAAAAAAATAGTAAAGTTTCTACAAACTGTAAACTTTGAATATTCTGCAAACAATAAGTGAAACAATAAAGACAATCTTGAACAGGTATAAGTACAATAATAGAAGAGATAGGATTGAGAACATCAAGACCTAGATTTTATAATAGTTTGACTTTCCTTTTGCCTACTACACTCTTCTAGTTCTAGCAAACCTAACCGGGTTGCTTCCGGGCATAAACTTATTTCTCCTGCAGTTCACCTTCTACAATAGTAGTTTCTCCCTTGTTACCCCACAATTGTGCATCAACCCTTTCTTTTTGCAAATGCCCCACAAAAGTTATGTAGTTTTCACACCTTCCATTCATCCCACAGTGGTTTTACAAATCCCTTTGCCTAGTACCTTTGGTAAAATCACAATTCTCTCTGTCTGCAGAACAAACAGCTTCTGCGAACACTTCTAATAAAAATCCGTACTTTTTCTCACACTCACCCTAGTGCATATAAAAAAATAGCAAAAAAATGTTTAAAGAAGATTTACAAATAAAGTTTCAACTCTCACAGTGTTAATCACAAATTCGAGCTAATGAGCATGAATGTGTATTTGCAAATGGCCTAATTCCGAAAAAAAAGCACAAATTTTACTTTAAATGACAATTTTGGCCCGAACTTTTTTTTTTCATAAAAAATCGGAAATTTTCACTTAAATTCTAAATCTGGCCCAAATAATTTGAAAATTTCACACCACAGGGTTATATTTGGAACTAGAGCAAAAATTAGTACTTTTTATTAAGACAAAAAAAAAAGTTCGGGACAGAATTGTCACTCAAAGTAAAATTGATGTTTTTTTTTGGAATTAACCCATTCGTAAATTCACGTATATGCTGTAGTTCATCCTCTTGTGTTCTCAGCTTCGTTTCTAGTATTCATAGATATATAAATCAAACGGTGAGACTTGAATGAGCATCCGTTATGTCACTTTCGAATTTCCTTGGATAATATAGTCGTTAATCCACGATATCAGCTATAAAAATCTTCCAATCTATTCAGTTGTCCAGCCTGTAGAGAATCTTCTATTTTTGGAAATATAGGTCATGATCTTGGATTAGCAATCAATCTGCTAAATCATGGAATATTTTCGCCTAAAGTTGGTTTACTATGATATATGATATATCAACATAATAACCATTATATATCAACATAATAACCATTAGCTGGGTCTTTTTTTTTTATGAAAAATATTAGGAGGAGGGGAAGATGCTCTTCAAGTTGTGCTGTTTCACTATGTTTTGAGCGACATATTCATCCGAGTATTACTGAAAATGAAAAGGAAGACATGTGGACACAACATGACTTCGATGTACCTTGAATATCCTATTGAAGTGCACAAGATATATGCTCTACGTCAATGTTGCAGAAGACCCAGCTCACGATTATTATATTTTTTTTTTTGGGTAAGGCGTCATGATTATTATGTTGATATATCATATATCTAAGATCGAGCTCATGGTGCCAAAGTGGATTGGCTCGGATGGTAAGATTCGAACTTTTCGCACACCATGCCAAGTTTGAGTCATGCTGCTGGCTTTCTCGTTTGTAAGCGATGTGTAACCGCTATAAGACCTTACAGATCCGTGGTATGCATGCATTCCATTATAAGACCTTTTTATGCTTGTGGTATGCTCCGGCCTTGGCATGGAGTAAACATGCAATACTTTTCTGCATCCACTCAAAGAACTCATCAAATACTTTAATAAGGTTTTGTAATCATCAAAATAATTTGAGGGATTCTAACATTGATTTTAAAATTTCCAACATATTGCGCGGAAAAGCCTGGTGAAGTTGGATTTTAATAAATAAACAATATTCTACGAGACATTAAAATCCTATGTGAATGTTTTTGTATGTGCAATGCCGAAGTGACAATTCCCCTGCTTTCAATGGTTAAGTTCAGTTCTAGTCTCCTTACCTTCATACATGCTATGGGATTCTCCAACTTTTTGGAGGAATTATGTTCCCTAAATTATTTTATTGGTGCAATGACGTGACTTATTTGGTAGGCTACCGAAAGGACCCAATTGCATAACTCAGCCAAGTTAGAGACCTAATTGCAATAAAGATAAAAATATAAATACAAAGGCTGTAAGGGCCAATAACACCAACAATTTGGACCAAAAGGAGACTTAGGGTGCGTTTAGTAACTTACCAAATAGTAATTGATTCTATTCTTTTGTTCTGTAAAACAAAAAAAAGAACAGAAATCCGTTTAGCAAATTTTTTGTTCCCAAGCACAAATTTGCATAAATTTGTTCCAAGAATCAGTTTTGGAGCGGAATCAAGAATAAAAAAAAAGTTGCTTCTTGATTCCAGGAACAAGAATCAGAAATAGAAAAGAAATTTTTTATTCTTCTTCTTGGTTGGCTTCTTCATTTTTCCTGACCTATGGCCGGTCGACAGCCACCGGTGACCGGCCACAGGCCAGGGCTAGCGAGGGCGTCGCGGCCTGGGCGAGGGCCGCCCTTGCCGAATCTGGCGAGGGCGACCCTCGCCCAGACCGCGAAGGCAACCCTCGTCCAAGCCGCAACCCGCCCTCACTAGATCTAGTGAGGGAGGGGGCAAGGGTCCAGCCCTCGCTAGATCCGGCAAGGGCGGACCTCGCCCAGGTGGTGAGGGTCCAGCCCTCACCGAAGCCGCTAAGGGTGGCCCTCGCCTGTGGTTGGTCGCCGGCGCCGGCGATCTGGCTATGGGCCAAGGAAGGAAAAGAAAGAAAAAAAAGAAAAAAGAAAGAAAGAAATATTAAAAAATTCAAAATATTATTAATAAAAAGAAATTTTATGCATTTACCAAATATATTTCTGTTCTTTTTCTATTCTAAGAATATAAATTTTGGGCAATTACCAAATGCCTTCAAATGCTTAGAAATTATTTCCGGGAACAGAATAAAAAAAATCATTTCTGAGCAAAAATTATTTCAGGGCAAAAATTGTTTTCGGGAACATAATGGTTATCAAACGCACCTTTAAAGTATGCTAGCAATGTTTCCTAAGAGAAGCTAAGCCCGAACATTGTTTAGAGACGATTTATCCAGTCATTTTTTTTTTTCTGAATCATTTGATTGTCGATTCTTCAACAATTCAATGTTCAATCGACATGATTCAGCAACGAATTTTTTATTATTATCAAACGGCCTTTTGTTTCTATTTATAACCTTCAAAATATATCGTGCTTGAGCTTTTGCTTTTACCAAACAAGCTATGAGTCCATTGGATCAAATCCATCATACTTCGAAAGTCCGCGGGATCCACACTGGGTCCCACAAGAAAATAAGTTCATGTACAGTTTTTTCTTTGTATGAAAAAAGGGCTAAAGTCTAGTACAAAAATTTAATGCCGTAAATTTATTATCCCTATTTTATCACCTAATAAAACATGAAGCAACCTTCTAGGGGGTAACGAAAAGAATCTAGTGCTCAAGCGCTTATCGATTGTAAGATTAGCAAACCAGTCAGAAGGACGTTTCCATTGGTTCTATGCACCGCACCCCTCACACATTTGTCCACACAATACCTTATCCTCGAGAAAAACAGCGACGTTAAGGAAATGTGTCGGAAGAGAATATTTCTTTTGCTATGAATCGGAAGAATCCATGTCTCCTCGAAAGATGGCGGCGAGGAGAAGCAAGTTGTCACGGGACGTGCTTGCAAGAGTCCTGAGATGTGCTTTGCTTGTCCCATAAGACAATCGGAGGTCACATGAAAGCAAAAGCTGTTCCTTTCGCTCACTACTTTTTGTCCGAACACCGGCGGTGGGTGCCACATGCTTGGACCATTTTGCAGTTGCCTTCATTCCTTTTTTAAAAAATAAATTGAGCTTTCTTTCTCTCTTTATATTTTGGATTAATCCTACGAAAAATCCTAAATCGATACACATGTGATAGATTTACCCTGAACTAATTTTTTGACCACCAAAAATCCAAAACCGGTACACCTGCGATAAATTTATCCTAAACTAATTTTTTGACCACCAAAAACCCAAAACTAGTACATTTGTAACAAATTCACCCTCCGTAAAATTAGATTAACACTACGAAAAATCACAAATTGATAAATTTGGTTAAAACCCTAAACTGGTACATCCGTCAACTGTTACGTGTCATCAAACTCAGGAATTTGACGGTAAATTTTAACGGAAATCAACGGAGGATAAATTTATCATTGGTGTATCAGTTTGGGGTTTTTTGTGGTTAAAAAATTAATTTGGAATAAATCTGTCACAGGTGTACCGGTTTGGGGTTTTTTTATGGTATTAGTCCTTATGTTTTTGGGTCAAGAAATTAATTGAGTTTTGTGCATTTATTTCACACAATACAAATGACTCGAAAAATATTTTCTTTTTTTTTTTATCAATATAGTTCATACTTAAGTATTTTCTTTGATGAAAACATTTTTCGTCCATTTATTTGTGCGACCAATACAACTGATCGTTTTTAGAAAAATATTTTCAAATTGTTGATTTTCCGCGAAAGAAACGAATCGCCGTGCCTTTGTCTCTGGCTTTGCTAGAGTTATGGCAACATCTACCCCATAGGAAACTTTTAAGTCCGGACAGGTGTAACAAAAACGGCTTATCAAAATAGCAATAAGCCGAAAACCCTTTTCTTTTTTTCTTATCTAAGGTCACATAAAAAAAGAAAATGGTTATTAGGTGCGATGACAATGTAAACAAAGATATGCACGAGACCTATCAAATTCAAAAAAATAGCAATCTGTATATACAGTAAAAGGATTTGCTCAGGCAAATTCATTCATTCATTAAAGAGTT